TTTATTTCTATTATGAATAGCTCTTGCAGCATGTAGCACATGGACTGCGGAAAAATCAAGATCCACCCATAATGGTTCAGGTTTTTTATATAAATTTATTAAATATTTTTTTATTAATTTTTCGGTATTTAATAATCATATTGAATCCCAATTAATTTAAAATCAAATCACGTCAAATTTTATAAAAAAAAAATTCTTCCCATATTTATTTTTTTATTTATAAAACTCAAATTTGAGATTTTATTTAAAAAAATAAAATTCCTACCATTTAAATCAATAAATCATTGATATAAAAAAATATTATATATAAATATTGTACTTAAATATTGTATGCCTAGGATAAATATGTATTTTTCATACCATTTAATTTTTCCTTTTGATTTTCGTTTATTTTCTACATTTTTCTATATATAAACACCGACGAACTCATTCAGAGTCACGACATTGACGAAACACCTATTAAAATCCAATTTCACATTAAAAAATGCAGTCACAACAATGAGACAGCAGCAAATTAAACTCGACAAAATCATGTATAAATAAACGTGAGGATTCAGAGCACCGAGATGCAATTCTGACCAGCACAAGGTTTGAAGAAAACCGCGTCGTGGATATGCATCTAATAATCGTCAGCTAAAGCCTAAAGTAACGCATTAGCGATATATACAAAGAAAATTGTGCGGTACTGAATTAAATTGAAGAATATTGACTAGGCATCATATCCCTAATATCAAGGAGACTCTAAGCGATGATTTTTTTTCTTTTTTGAATGGATTTTACAAGAGGCTGGGTTCGAACCCCAGCCTTGGAGAGGAGGGAATGCACTATGAGTGACTTGGCTCGAAGGGCTCGGTGCCTAAGCGATGATTTTATCCGTACATATTTTTCAAAATTATATCACGGATGCTTGTGTTCCAATCCTACACACTCTGTCTATATCTTACCTTAATCTTTTTTTTTTTTAGCATATCCTATCTTCATATTAAATATATATAAAATTATTACCGATAACTTAATGATTTGAATGAAAGATTGTTGACTTTTTTAAACTAAAATTTTAAATTTGAGTATTTTAAATAAAAAAATAAATATTAAAAGAGTTTTTTTTATAAGGCTAATTTGATTTAATTTTGAATTGATTAAGATCTAATATAATTTTTAGATACCAAAAGTTTAATAAAAAAATTATATATATAATTATTGTAATAATAAATTTCTCCTTAACATTTTTAAGTAAATACCAATTGAAAATTTGAAAAATTGTTGATAAATAACCAATGAGTTTTAAAAGAATTTCAATCTATATACAATGAGTTATTTTAAAAAAGTTATATAAAATAATTAAAGTGTATTAAATATTATAATCCTACATTAATAAAATTTGATTTAATTTTTATTAATTTTATTCAAGCATTATTATTATAACATTTGAATTTACTTTTTTTTTAAAAAAATTAATTATATAACATTAATA